TTGCTGACGTGGCTCATGTTTTAGCCTGGTCAAACTACCCCAGCCCCAAATTCGTTGCCAGATGCATTGACTGTACAACGGGGTATTGCACAATCACGCATTTCTTACCCTCTTAACCCCCAAATTTACTCCAAAAAACCATGTAGTGTGTTTGTGGCACTATTTATTGACATCACAAAAGCAAAATAAAAAGCTTAGGAGGTAATTTTGGTTGTGACTGGTGCAAGTGTCCTATACTTAACAATAGTCAACAGAACAAGAAGAAAGACTTTTCCACACTGTGATTAAAAGCCCCCCCCCAAAAAAAATAGGCCATAAGGAAAGCAACTGCTGTCTGGTTGCTAGCCAAAACACCTAACAAATGCCCCCATGAAGACCCTTAAGCAAGCGTGTCCCCCCACCAGCAGATAAAAAAGAAAACAGAAAAGCCCCAAAGTGTGTGAATGATACTACAGAAAAAAATTACATAAATGCACACACACTCTCTCAGAATCCCCCCTCATCCAAAAAAACCCCCCAGAAACATGATTGTGGGTAGCACAACATGACATCAGTTGACTGGATTGATTGTTAAACGTTGCCAGATCTTCACATACTGGTACATGTACATGTTTGCCTTGATGTGTGTGAAATCCCCTTTTAACAAATGAATGAATCCTCTCATTTGCATTACTTTGGCCATTAGATCGCTCTACAGAAAGCATTACATACATTTAAACTATTGCTGTGACATCACTCCTTTGTTCAAAGCGTAGATTTTTTTTCCGAATAGCAAACTGTAGATTTGTAACGAATCTACAGTACAGTATGAGGAGTTACCCTCATGTCCCACCCCCTCGTTTCGGTCAAAGTAGTTGTGACCGGAGGGTTGGGGAAGAGCTTAATAGTGCTTTATCACTGTGACACTGATTGTCCTGGGCCTTGCAACTGCCACAGTGGGCAAATTTAAGGGATACCAGGAATGCCCAAACTCCGTCCTTATTGTGTATGTTTGCCTTTCTCCATAGAAAATGATGCATGCATTGTAGTTTGTTACCTCTTATGTTTTCAGGATCAATGCTTTAAAAACCAAGATTTTCAGCAAATATCTGAATTTTCTCTTCACCTTTCAATAAGGAATAAATTTGATGTCTTTTTGCTGGTTTTCTGTCTATGTTTTACCCAGTCTTTTATGTATGTTGGATTATGGCGCGTTCTTCATAAAATGACATAAAATGTCATTTTTCAAAACTTCTAAAATAGTGACTTTTATTATGTAAGATACAAATTAGCACCTTCAGATTTATAAAAATAATTATTTGGGGATAATTACGCATACTGTGTACATTTTGTGGACAGTTGGTTTGCTAACGGTGCAAATCAAATGGAGTTGAATCCATTTAAAGTTTTACATCAAAATACATCTACACTGGGCAGCAAAAGAAACTTGCCGCTTCTGTCAAAGGCCACACATAAAAATTTACTCTATAGAAATAAAAAAAATTTGTACACAGGTATGCTGCAACTGCCGAATTTGGGACCCGATTAATTGTGAGAGGTATTTTTAATTTCGTTATTATGGCTTTAATATGTGTAAATATTATCACCCTTTACTGACTGCTGGGATTATCACTTCTTGGTAAATTTTAATTGGCTAGGATTGCAACAGGGTTGTTCACATCTGTCAAAAATGCTGACGTTTGAGACTTTAACTTTAAGTAACTCCAATTAAGTTGAAAGATGGACACGGCCATCATTGTTCCAGATATCAGCCATGGCATCCCTCATTTCATCAGACATTGGGAATAAATTCACTGCTGTTCACTTCAGGAAAAATGAACCCCCAAAGTTGAACATTATCTAATGGTCCATATTTTGAGGAACCTGCCGTATGCCCAGTAGCTTAATTGAATTGATGCAAACTCAGTTACATCTTCTAGTTGTTCCAAGATTGTACTGGTCCTGAGGTGACAGACCTGTAAGAATTGCTGCTCCCTGTGTGTACAGTCCAGCACATACATCTCAATTCATTTAAAACTACAACCAAACATACTTGTATGATCATGCTTGAAGAGTTAAACCCTTCCAGCATGATCATACAGGTATGTTTGGTTGTTGTTTTACAGGCCCTGTAACTTTTCTTGTGTTAGTGTTTGTAGCACTATAAGCAATTTAGGAAGATGTGTGCACTTTATCGTAATTTGAATCCAACGTTGCTCATTCTCCAAATGAAATAGCAATATGCAGTAAGGGGGCATTTCAGAATGATTTACATGTATACTTACATGTACATGTAAGAACATGTAAGGATCAGTGAACCTCATTTTGAGTGGTTCGTAAAGTGGTTTGAAAAGTGCTAACCATACTTTCATGAAGTTGATATAGCATTCCTCAGTTTCGTAGAGTGCTGTGGTGGTTTTAGTCCCTGCAATAATGAATCCAAGGCACAGGATGAAGAGAAGACAAGACATGTACATGTCCAGCACTGAATGTTGACTGCACAAATACTCTCATGAAGTTGATATTGTGTAGCATTCCTCAATTTCAAAGAATCCTGTGGTAGTTTTAGTCTGTTAGATTTCGTTGCAATGGCACACATATATTAATGACTCCAAGGAACAAGAGGAAGAGAAGAGAGTATGTACATATATCCAGCACTGACAGTGTTGACTGCATGAATACTGTCAATGTTTCATGAAGCCAAAAGCCGTGCACATTAATAAATGGAACAATTGGTGTGCACTCAGGCAAAGGGTTCACAGTGAGAGTGTCATAGACTTGGGACTTGCATGTCCAGACTTGGAACTGTAGACTCGTTCAAGACTGGGCTTGGCTTTGCCTCGGCCATTCCTAGTACCCATTTACAGTTCCCCAGTGATTCTCCTTGATGTTTGCAGGTTCTACAAAATATGAGCCATGCATGTGGATACATGTAGCAATGAACTTGCGGAGTTCATTTTTCTGGAAGTGAACAATATTGCATTAATTTACAATGTCTAATGAAATGAGGGGGTAATGACTGGTATCTGGCACACTGATGACTGTGCCCATCCTTTATCTTGATCAGAGTTAAATAATGAAAGTCTTGAACATAAGCAATTTTGACGGACGTGAGCAACCCGTATACATGTATATCCTAGCTTCCTATAAATTATCGAACAGTAATAATTCCCGTAGTAATTTTTGAAAAGATTTGTAAGTGGTAACAGATGATAATATGTATATGAAAACTATAACTGCTTGGTCCAGAAGTTGGCAGTTGCAAACAGCATCCAATTCCTTTAAAAATATCTACAATAAAACTAGCAAGTAAATAAAAAAATGATGTACAGCAAGATCCTGAGAAAAGAGTGCAAGAAAGGACCCCAAACCTTCGTGCTTTTACGACTTGGAACAATCACATTTTTATCAAGCACGTTTTTGTAAATCTGGGTCATGATGACTTCAGGACGTTTGTCGATACTTCATTGTGACAGTGCAGAAACGTTTTGCTGACTGGTGGGCTGTTTGACCTTTGACATCAGCTCAGATAGTGCTCTCTCATTTTCATTTGATATTCATGAGCCCCTCCGATCCATGGATGTGCAATGCTCCTGGATTTTTCTCTCTATACCATGGTTTCTTGAAAGAAAATCCCTCAAACTGAATGATGTTTTCCAAGAACTGATGTGGAAGACATAAAATATGGTTCATGATGAAATTCATGTGCTCTGAGTTCTTAATATTTATTAAATTTTGAGCAGCAACCTCTCCCAAACAAATGGTAAAATAACCATCGGGCATGGAATTTTCGAACACTGCATAACACAGTGTTTTCAGTAATATTAAATGTCATAAATTTTCAGTCAAAATTTTCTAATTTCATCAAAATTCCATCAGATTTGGTATTGCATCGAACATGTTGCGCTCAAATATCTTTGATGCTGCCAAATGTACAGAGTTTTTTTTAGTGATTGAAAGGTATGAGACCTGACAGATATGCTGGTATAGTTAGAATGATTTTAAACAGTAAGGGGATGAAAAGACTCTTTCTAATCATTTTACATCAATTTTGTAATTTTTTTCATGGCTTCTTTTTTGTAAAGGTCTCTCTGATTGGGTTCAAATTACATCTGTTGAAAATTATCCTGAATTTTTTGCTAACTAGAGAGAATTTTTTGAATCAAGTCATCTGGTACAAACATTTGGACTTAAAACATTAAATGAGTTCAGCTCCCATTGATTTGCTCTGGTAGGCAACCAAATGTGACCTGTCAGAATTTTAAAAAATTGAGATATTGTTATTTTTGAAATTAGCAGAAAGAGCTTTTCAGTGGTATGTACATGTACATTGCATGTACATGGAACACTTGGGTAAAAGTATGAGGTGACAATGTGGCATTATTCTGGTATCTTTGCGTCTTTTTTTTCTAACACTATTTCAACATTTCTGACTGGGCACAAATAATGCAATCATCAAACTTGCTGAGAAAATGACATTTTTAAATATCTGATCCTGCTAAACAAAATTGGAATTAAATAGAGGGGTTCATTTTTCAAAATATTGAAAGGTGCCAAAATTGACGTCCACTTCAATATTTGGTTGTGAACCTTCAAAATAGGAAAGAACATAGTGCGACTTTACGCTCATTTTGTTGTGCCAGGTCACAAATGTCCACAAAATGTACACAGTCTGCCTAATTATCCCCAACTGATCATTAAATCTGAAGGTGCAAATTTGGATTACATGTGGTCACTCTGTAAGAAGTTTTGAGAAATGACACAGTGATGTGTTTTGGTTCATCTGTGGAAGAATATACACACCCAGTACAATGATATACAATATGTATGTACTGGTATTTTATATTTTAGCTCATAATACAATGCACTGTACATGTACATACATAATTTATGCAACGTCTGCAAAGTGAATGAATTTAGGATAGGCTTCTAAGAAGAACACCTGTGAAATGGATGAGCAGGCCCTACCTACATGTATTGCAATAAATCCGTTGTCTCCTTTTTTATTTTCATATTTTTAGTCATGGGACATCTTCTTCCGCAACGCACAGAATGGAGCTGCCCCCGGCATGGCATACACTTCACCCCTAGTGCCTACCCCAGCTATATACCAGGCACCTGCCCAGTCGGTCAGTCCTATACCAGTTAGGGCACTGGGAGCACCCTTGGACAAACGTGTTATTGAAGATCACCTGTCAGTCCAAACGATCATCCGATCCTACCAGGTCTGTAGAGTTTGTGTGGTGTGATTGCTTAAATGTATTTGTCCACTGGCTCATGGACATGTGAGTGTGTCCTTTATTTTGGGGGCCAAATGTGTGACATGATAGTTGTAATTTCGTAGAGGTCTAAATTAGCTCCAACATTTTTGATTCACTGGTATGTGTATATTCTGGATAATACCTGCATGATATCTGCATGAAATAAATAGAACTTATTTTCATTTGACTGACTACCAGCCTTGCGCCGACTCATTTACGGAAATGGTGCTAAAACAATCAAGTGTGTTGCAAAGAAACAGAACATGACATTCCAAGGCATTTTTTTAGTTATAGTGACTTCATTTCAACTGTTGGCAATTTTATTATTTTTTTTATTTTACTGTGTAATTTTACACAAGTTGAAGGTGAGCACCTCCCATGTAGTCCATGCATACAGCATGGACTTTGGTACATGGCTGGTGCTCATGCACAAATGTGCACATGCACTCAGGCATGATACAGACCGCGATGCATGTTTGTTGCTTCAAGAGTATGAGTTACAAAGAGACAAAAGAAGGACAATCATAGCGGTGAGCCTGCATTGCATTGTGGGAGGTCAGGGTGCATCACGGGTGATCAAATCTTTTCAGCAGATAATAATAGGCTCATGGGAAATTTGTACAGTGTATATATGTAGTGACTGTTTGGTGAGGTAGTGTGCCATAGACTCCTCCCCCACTTCAAGTGTGGGTCGGGACTACTAGAGAATACCTACCCAAACTGTCAGTACACATGCAAATTTTCCATGTACTTTTTATTATTTGCTGAAAAGATTTGATCACCCGTGGTGCACCCTGACCTCCCACAATGCTGATCGTCTTTTTTTCGAAAGCGACTCAAAAGGTGGGAGCCAGAGTGGGGAGGACAGGTGGGAGAGGACTGGTTAGGTACATGTACATGTAGGTATTCTCTAGTAGACCCAACCCACACTTAATGTGAGGGAGGAGTCTACACACTACATATGCAGAGTAGCACTGGCCTAGATGGGTGGTTTGCAACAACACATGTAATGCCAAGAATACGCATTCACATGTAAACAAGGAAGAAAGAAATAGTAAATGAACTTCATGATGAGGTAGAGGGAGACTTCCAACATTTAGCTTTGCAGATGTCTGCAACGGAAACATCTCGAGAGTAAGACCAAGATGCAGATACTGCTCTTGCATCATGAACCATGATGTAGTGTTCATTAGAGCTTAATGGCCAGACTGGATTAACAAATCTAATTTCCAATGGAGGCTGTCCAGCGGGCAATAGTCACTGATGCTGCTGGATGGTGTGGTCTAATGATAGTGAGAAAGCAACAGGGTTATCATCCCTCTTATACTATCATTTTAGTCAGGTACCATTTCAGGACATGAACAGGGCATCAAAGCGTATCGGCATCATCTCCAGGATGTAAGGAGATAGAGGATGCAAAGATATTGGAAGGATCAAGTGAGGGAGTCTGGTCCTTTGTCAGGAAGCCAATGGAGGGAATGAAGTGAACACTGTGCGGCTCCAAACTTAGACGGCCTTCGGCAATTGGGAGAACTTGTAGTTCGCTGCCTCCTCTAGAGGTAACAGTTGTCAGGAACAAAGCCAACCTGACACTAGTGTGCATAAGTGAGGCGTTATTTAGAGCTCGAAGGAAGGACCAGAAAGCATCTAGAGAACCTAGCTTGGGTCTTATGACCACACCAATTTCCCGATGAGCGGACACCAGATGAACATACCATGCAAAAGGTCGAATGTGGTGCTGTTAGAGGCGGTTGAACTGATTTTGAAACTAATGTGAATGGCAGCTAAGGCTGACCTGTAGATGAGTTGTAGATACCGTACCTGCAGCTCGGAGTGAAAGAAGTACGCAAGGAAGTCTGTTATAGCACTCAGAGGAGTATTAAGCCAGAGCCAAAGCCTGACTGTCAAAGGACATAACAAAAGGCTAAATTTTCCTGTCATAAATTCCACAGGTGGGCAGACGACATCCCGTGCGGCCATGGCCGTAACGTCACTAGAAAGTCCTGTCAAAAGTCCTGTCAAACAGAAAGATCATTGGATAATACCTAACAAGTTAGAAGCAGAGAGTTGAGCATTGTTCAGAGAAGTGAAGAGGTCTATGTGAGGCTGCTCTATCATCCTGAGGAGAGTGCATCCGCCACTACGTTGTCGGACCCTGCCATGTGGATTCTCTGCAGGTTCAACAGCATGATCCCTTGGCTTTGATTGGTAGTGCAAAAGAAGAGGCAAGGAAACTGCAAGACTTACTCAAAGAAAGAGATGACATTATCATCCAGAGTCCCGAGCATGACTGTAGTGATGTCTGGATAGAAAGGAGAACTCTCTTTGATATCCAAGGAATTTACCTATAAAAAAAAGAAATAGGTCGGAGACTGAGACAAAGACTTCATGTAACCTAGATAAAGTTGGTTTCTGTCTTTATCGAGCAAGGAGTTCCTAATGGAAGGCTTGCTAAGTCGGATGCATAATTTGTCTTTAGTGGCAGTGTATAAGTCTGGAAGAGAGCTGCTCCAAAGGGCTGTGATGCAGACTCAGAATGGGGTCTGCATACCTGTGGCATATTCACCGGGGCAGCGATCCAGAAAGTTGGCTGGGAAGGTGCTGCTGTCTGGATTACGTCTGGATGCCCATGCCGTAGGGGGGCATCTGCGTGTAACGGCTACCTGGATAAGTGGGACCGTGGCTCATGTCCATCTGAGGAGAGAGCCTGATGGGCTATCGCAATACAATACCATTAACAACCCTTAAAACAGAAAAAATATTTAGTAGCCATCGGCTCCTAATGGGGAAAAATCTAGGCGCCAGCACTTTTATGAAAGTTCAGTAATCACGTGTGCTGAATATTCATGAACACATGTACTATAAATACCGTGTTTACATTGTCCATCCATGCCGTAGACTGTGCATCCCTGCACATGTGCACGACACAACTTGCATGTACTGGTACGTACACGAGTGCTGATGAGTCAATCCACAAAATCAGGGTTCTTGCCAAGGGGTTCAGCCACAGATGTTATGATGTTCGTAGTTTCAGCGTGTCGCAGGACACCCTGCTGGTGAATGCTGTTCCTGACACTCTAAATCACAGCGACACCCTTTAATTCTGGCATGATTGATCGAGCTCCATTTCAGGCTTCAGTTACATTGCAACAGAAAAGCAGCCAAAAATGGAGCCCATTCCATGGTTTGCAAAATGGCCTTGGTGTCCATATACAATGCATCAACAACGTATGTTTAGATCGGGAACCAACCAACTCGTCTGTGTGATCACGACACATGTACAGTATCATATATGTACTTGTACATGTACTGGTAGAGTGCAAACGCGAAGCTTTAAAGTCATTATGTTACTTGCGCTGCCATTTCTACTTTTCTGGAACAAATTTTGATTTTTAAGCATACTCGTCAAAGCTACCTATCTTGAGTCGCAAATGGTGACTGTATGGTGAAAATGTGATTGCATTAGGAAAAATTTGGTAGTATTTGCGAGTGATTAATGCACTATTTAAAGCATTGACAGGTGAAGACAGATAAGAGCACTGATAATACCAGGTCATATTTATAACAAGGAAAGTTTTTATTGGGAGGGGGGTGCAAAGTCTTCGTTTTTCTTTGTTTTTTCACAACTGGTAACACAAGGTACCGGTATCAATTAATAATGGTACATGTAGTTTGTGCAGTTACCAGGACCTTGTCATAACAGTGTTCTACTGTAGTTGTCCTGGAGATGTTCTTCCAGAAAGCCCTAGATGAAGGACAGACAACAAGGAGATGCACAGCCACGACAGCATGCTTTGCCCAGTTTTGTATACACCAGGGTTGCTCCGGATAACAAGAGGGAGTGGTCCGGTAAGGCAAAGACTTCATGCCTGGGAACCCGTAGCAGGAGTATCTAATGGCAGAGGCTCTAGACGTAGGGCAGTCGGCTGACTGGCAGGGGCTTGGTTGGTATTTTCCTTCAGAAGGGAGGCTGACTGAGTATGAAGAACCTGAAACATGATGTACTTGGATTAATCAATTCTTAATCAACCTTAATTTGTATGAAATTACATGTACATGTACCTGATAGTTTACCTGGAACGTATTTTAAATTTCATTTTTTTTCCATTTTCAGTTTGATGATATCTTTGCTACTGCTTTCTGTAAACTTTCCTGTAGTGAGTTGTTTACAATACTGGGAGGAGAAAGTGTGACACAAGTGGTAAACAATTAATAATCATCAGGAACAATGTAGTAGCTTTTATTTCAATGTTCCTCCAACAAGCCAGTTTAAGGATCAAAAGATAGTTCATCACAAGGAAGTCCACATTTTTAGCATTCAAATGTACATGTACGCTGTTTCCCTTCTACGTTGTGCATGTACGTATGTAACACGTGTAGGTGTCTGACATCACACACAAAGTGATTTCCCTGAGACTTTTTGTCATGTACATGTAGGTATATGTTAGGCTTGGGCGGTATTGTGTTTTTTTCGATACTGCGGTATCCATGCAAAAAATACTATTTTTAGTATTACAGTATTTACTAATACCACGGTATTTGTTGCAGAAGGCAATGACGTCATAAAAAAGCCATGGCGATGCTGACATTCAAAGGCAAACCACAAACAACACTAGAGGCCAGCATAAAGGGTTTTTAAAGTCACTAAGCCCCCTAAACTTAATAACTGTTTTATTTATCTGTCCATTTGATGTCAAATAAAAATTATTTATGGGAAAGAATTTAAAAAAAAAGGGATGGTGTTTTAAATACCGCTTTGTTTCCCCATGATTCCTATATCTGTGTGGTCACTCGGACGGTGTCAAAATCTGCACATGTACTACAGTCAAGTTGGTACTCGCTGAGACAGTACGTTATTGTAATGATTACGTGCGGGTCACCAGTGGCTGTTCCTCTTAGCTGCGCCCTAACACTGCGCATGTGCAATGGTAAGGTGGCTTTCAGAAAACTCTGCGACGCGGCAG